TGTTCAGTTTCTTGCACAGACCGATCGTTTCATGTCTTTACACATCAATGTGTCGTCATGAGCCGCAGGGTTTAATTTGGTTTTGTTTGTGTATGTTTTTTTGACTCTCAAAGCTGTGATTCCCATTCACTTCCATTATAAGACTGTCAGACTGCAATAGTTTGAGTTAAAAATCTTCGTTTGTGTTCTGCTGAAGAAACAACGTCACCTACATCTTGGATGCCCTGGGAGTAAGCAGATAAACATCAAATTTTCATTTTTGGGTGAACTATCCCTTTAAGTTTCTTCATGAAGGTTCGCTCTGCCAGTTTTTCATGTCCACGGTTTGAAGCGCCCCCGGAATGCGATTTTTTTTTACCGGAGGACCCCTCGAAATGTGGTTAGTTTGGGGTAGCAATTGGGAGGGTTTTGTTGTAAAAAACCTGGCAACCCTTTCTGTCAAGCAGGAAACGTTATTATTGCTAACATAGTGACTCATCGAATAATACATTGGCATCATCTGTATTAATGAGAATATAATCACTTCATTCAATGTTAAAGTGAATAAAATAGCCTTGACAGCCTTGGAGTTCCACAACTATTGACTTTGTTCTCTCACAACAGACGCGTGTGTGTGTAGGTGATGTAAAAGAGGAAAGCAGGCATTTGGACCAAGTGAGGCAAGGTAGGGGAGACTCAAAATGTTTCTAAACTTAAAACACATTTTTGCCCCGTTTGTGTTGTTTTACTTCTTACACAATTATTTAAAGTATAAAACATTATTTACAATACACAGACTGGGTTTTAATCATATTTTTAAGGGGAACAACCCTATGCCAAAAGTCAATTATATTCAACACAAAGAAGCAAAGGCATAGTTTGATGACACCGTGACTGAGTGTGGTGGAATCATGGGGGTTATTGTCTTCTTCATCCAGAAATGGTCTTCTTCATCTTCAGTCAGAAATCATGTTTAGGGATGAGCATAGGCAGAAATTTGACTGCATTAGCATGGGTAACTTCCTTGTCTTTTAGCACTTTTAATGCATACAGGTGTACAAGAGGTTGATCGCCCAAGCATGCATTACAACAACAAAACAACAAACACAAATCAAGCCATTTTTAATTGGATAGCACTTCTCACAGTCAATGTTGTTTTAAAGTGGAATACCATTCCTTAATGTCCTAAGCAAGCCAAATGCAAAATAAATAGATTAATAATAACAATTTACGCCACAATGCAGTTGAATCCTTAATTCTGATTAGACAGTAGTTGTAATAGACAGTAGTTCCTTGACCAAACTACAGTTCCATATCAGTTTTCCAAATTACTAGCTAGAGGAGAGCAAATGTTTGTAGAAAATCTTGCTGAACAACTTTTATAATTGTGTCAAATCCTGGGTAAACTGGATCTATATTTAAATTATGTACAAACTGAAGTACAGGTGTGCAAATAGGAGGATTGAATTGAAGGAGTGGCAGGTTGCAACACAGTTTCAGGACTGCAGTGCACACCAGATATTGTGATAGATTTAAAATATTTTCCTGCAAACATTACAAATGCCCCAGGTGAAAAAGAAATATATTTAAATTGTGCTTTTTCAGACATACTTACTATATTTAAATTATACTATACTAAGTGCATATTAAATGTATTATTTTGAAACAACTTCAAGTATATTAAGTGTATTTCAAGATATGTTTAAGTTGGATTTTAATCTATTTGTAATATATTTAATATATTGAAATTGTGTTAAACTGGAACCACTTTAAGTATATTTAGTGCAATTTAAGTGTATTACTTAAAATACATTTAAAATGTCCTTTTAATACTTCATGAACTACAGTTAGAGTATATTTGAAGCATCGTTTTAATGTACTTCAAGTACATTTCAATTGTATTTCAGCTCATTGGAAATGCATTAGCATTACACTACTAGTATATTATAAAGCTGCTTTTTTCAATATATACACACACACGTACACACTTTGATATCTAGAAAACTTTAATGTATTATATATTGTTGTGTACATTACAAATATT